TGGGTCTCTGTGTGAGTCTATGGGTGTCTGTTTGAGTCTGTGCGTCTCGGTTTGAGTCTGTGGGTCTCTGTGTTAGTCTGTGGGTCTCGGTTTGAGTTTGTAGATCTCTGTGTGAGTCTGTGGGTCTCTGTGTGAGTTTGTGGGTCTCGGTGTGAGTCTGTGTATCTCGGTTTTAGTCTGTGGGTGTCTTGTGTGTGTCTGTGGGTCTCTGTGTTAGTCTGTGGGTCTCGGTTTGAGTCTGTGGGTGTCTTGTGTGAGTCTGTGGGTCTCTGTGTGAGTCTGTGGGTGTTTGTGTGAGTCTGTTGGTCTCTGTGTTAGTCTGTGGGTCTCGGTTTGAGTTTGTAGATCTCTGTGTGAGTCTGTGGGTCTCTGTGTGAGTCTGTGGGTCTCTGTGTGAGTCTGTGTATCTCGGTTTTAGTCTGTGGGTGTCTTGTGTGAGTCTGTGGGTCTCTGTGTAAGTCTGTGGGTGTCTGTGTGAGTCTGTGGGTCTCTGTGTTAGTCTGTGTGTCTCGGTTTGAGTCTGTGGGTCTCTGTGTTAGTCTGTGGGTCTCGGATTGAGTCTGTGGGTGGCTGTGTGAGTCTATGGGTCTCTGTGTGAGTCTGTGTGTCTCGGTTTGAGTCTGTGGGTCTCTGTGTTAGTCTGTGTGTCTCGGTTTGAGTCTGTGGGTCTCTGTGCGAGTCTGTGGGTCTCTGTATGAGTCTGTGCGTCTTTGTGTGAGTCTGTCCGTCTCGGTTTGAGTGTGTGGATCTCTTTGTGAGCCTGTGGGTCTTGGTTTGAGTCTGTGGGTGTATTGTGTGAGTCTGTGTGTCTCTGTGTGAGTCTGTGTGTCTCTGTGTGAGTCTGTGGGTCTCTTTGTGAGTCTGTGGGTGTCTTGTTTGAGTCTGTGGGTCTCTGTGTGAGTCTGTGTGTCTCGGTTTGAGTCTGTGGGTCTTTGTGTGAGTCTGTGGGTCTCTGTGTGAGTCTGTGGGTCTCTGTGTGAGTCTATGGGTCTCTGTGTGAGGCTGTGTGTCTCTGTGTGAGTCTGTGGGTGTCTTGGGTGAGTCTGTGGGTCTCTGTGTGAGCCTGTGGGTCTCCGTTTGAGTCTGTGGGTGTCTTGTGTGAGCCTTTGGGTCTCGGTTTGAGTCTGTGGGTGTCTGTGTGAGTCTCTCGTTGTCTTTGTGAGTCTGTGGGTCTCTATGTGAGTCTGTGGGTGTCTTGTATGAGTCTGTGGGTCTCTGTGTGAGTCTGTGGGTGTCCGTTTGAGTCTGTAGATCTCTGTGTGAGTCTGTGGGTCTCTGTGTGAGTCTGTGGGTCTATGTGTGAGTCTGTGGGTCTCTGTGTGAGTCTGTGGGTGTCTGTGTGAGTCTGTGGGTCTCTCTGTTAGTCTGTGGGTCTCAGTTTTAGTCTGTAGATCTCTGTGTGAGTCTGTGGGTCTCTGTGTAAGTCTGTGGGTCTATGTGTGAGTCTGTGGGTCTCTGTGTGAGTCTGTGGGTGTCCGTTTGAGTCTGTAGATCTCTGTGTGAGTCTGTGGGTCTCTGTGTGAGTCTGTGGGTCTATGTGTGAGTCTGTGGGTCTCTGTGTGAGTCTGTGGGTGTCTGTGTGAGTCTGTGGGTCTCTCTGTTAGTCTGGGGGTCTCAGTTTTAGTCTGTAGATCTCTGTGTGAGTCTGTGGGTCTCTGTGTGAGTCTGTGGGTCTATGTGTGAGTCTGTGGGTCTCTGTGTGAGTCTGTGGGTGTCTGTGTTAGTCTGTGTATCTCGGTTTGAGTCTGAGGGTCTCTGTGTTAGTCTGTGGGTCTCGTTTTGAGACTGTGGGTGTCTGTGTGAGCCTGTGGGTCTCGGTTTGAGTCTGTGGGTGGCTTGTGTGAGTCTGTGTGTCTCTGTGTGAGTCTGTGGGTCTCTTTGTGAGTCTGTGGGTGTCTTGTGTGAGTCTGTGGGTCTCTGTGTGAGTCTGTGTGTCTCGGTTTGAGTCTATGGGTCTCTGTTTGAGTCTGTGTGTCTCTGTGTGAGTCTGTGGGTGTCTTGGGTAAGTCTGTGGGTCTCTGTGTGAGCCTGTGGGTCTCGGTTTGAGTTTGTGGGTGTCTGTGTGAGTCTCTGGGTCTCTTTGTGAGTCTGTGGGTCTCTATGTGAGTCTGCGGGTTTCTTGTGTGAGTCTGTGGGTCTCTGTGTGAGTCTGTGGGTCTCAGTTTGAGTCTGTGGGTGTCTTGTGTGAGTCTGTGGGTCTCTGTGTGAGTCTGTGGGTGTCTGTGTGAGTCTGTGGGCCTCTCTGTTAGTCTGTGGGTCTCGGTTTGAGTCTGTGGATCTCTGTGTGAGTCTGTGGGTCTTTGTGTGAGTCTGTCCGTCTCGGTTTGAGTTTGTGGGTATCTTTCTGAGCCTGTGGGTCTCGGTTTGAGTCTGTGGGTGTCTTGTGTGAGTGTGTTTGTGTCTCTGTGTGAGTCTGTGTGTCTCTGTGTGAGTCTGTGGGTCTCTTTGTGAGTCAGTGGGTGTCCTGTGTGAGTCTGTGGGTCTCTGTGTGAGTCTGTGTGTCTCGGTTTGAGTCTGTGGGTCTTTATGTGAGTCTGTGGGTCTCTATGTGAGTCTGTGGGTCTCTGTGTAAGTCTATGGGTCTCTGTGTGAGTCTGTGGGTGTCTTGGGTGAGTCTGTGGGTCTCTGTGTGAGCCTGTGGGTCTCGGTTTGAGTCTGTGGGTGTCTGTGTGAGTCTCTGGGTCTCTTTGTGAGTCTGTGGGTCTCTATGTGAGTCTGCGGGTTTCTTGTGTGAGTCTGTGGGTCTCTGTGTGAGTCTGTGGGTCTCAGTTTGAGTCTGTGGGTGTCTTGTGTGAGTCTGTGGGTCTCTGTGTGAGTCTGTGGGTGTCTGTGTGAGTCTGTGGGCCTCTCTGTTAGTCTGTGGGTCTCGGTTTGAGTCTGTGGATCTCTGTGTGAGTCTGTGGGTCTTTGTGTGAGTCTGTTCGTCTCGGTTTGAGTTTGTGGGTATCTTTCTGAGCCTGTGGGTCTCGGTTTGAGTCTGTGGGTGTCTTGTGTGAGTGTGTTTGTGTCTCTGTGTGAGTCTGTGTGTCTCTGTGTGAGTCTGTGGGTCTCTTTGTGAGTCTGTGGGTGTCCTGTGTGAGTCTGTGGGTCTCTGTGTGAGTCTGTGTGTCTCGGTTTGAGTCTGTGGGTCTTTATGTGAGTCTGTGGGTCTCTATGTGAGTCTGCAGGTCTCTGTGTAAGTCTATGGGTCTCTGTGTGAGTCTGTGGGTGTCTTGGGTGAGTCTGTGGGTCTCTGTGTGAGCCTGTGGGTCTCGGTTTGAGTCTATGGGTGTCTTGTGTGAGCCTGTGGATCTCGGTTTGAGTCTGTGGGTGTCTGTGTGAGTCTCTGGGTCTCTTTGTGAGTCTGTGGGTCTCTATGTGAGTCTGTGGGTGTCTGTGTGTGTCTTTGGATCTCTGTGTGAGTCTGTGGTCTCTGTGTGAGTCTGTGGGTCTCTGTGTGAGTCTGTGTGTCTCTGTTTGAGTCTGTGGGTGTCTTGTGTGAGTCTGTTGGTCTCTGTATGAGTCTGTGGGTATCTGTGTGAGTCTGTGGGTCTCTGTGTTAGTCTGTGGGTCTCTGTGTGAGTCTGTGGGTGTCTTGTGTGACTCTGTCGATGTATTTTAATTTCATTAGTAAAATCGTCACTTTATGTGTCTATGAAAGAGAGCCAGAGGACTGGTTTACAGGGGGGGGGGGCCCTACTGCTTCATTGACGCTATCATCTGGACGCCTTCAGCCAATTACTGATGAAGCCACAGGGGCATTGACTGAAACGTTGCCAATTACTTACTTTTAGATGCCACGGAGGCAACGTGCCCGGTTTACCGTCCGGTGCTGCCAGCGCAGTGTACCGACCATCACCGCCACCGCCGACGCTGGACTCCCCAACCCACCGCATATTAGTCCCCGCTTTTATCTGTCCCAAAGGAAGCGATGATATTTTGATTATAGTCCACGTGGACCGCTAACGGTGCTGGCCACCCACCGCCTCGTGTGCCTTGCCGGCCTACGTAGGCGCGCGCTTGCAGCACTTGCCCCAACAGTCTGTTCAGGCCATATGGGGAGGATTTTTGTCTTCGATTTTTTTTTGTTCATGGCTGCTGTTATATGTATCTATTTTTTAAATGGCCGTGGTTCACCTTGCGTGGCCAGCTGCGTATCCCACGACTTGTTAGCGAGCCTGGGTCTGGCTCCACCGCAAGCCTCCTTCCAAACACCTCTCACCAACCCACTCCCCCAGACCCCCACCCTCGATGTTGCCGTTTCCTTAAAGCCGGCGCGGCAGCCGTGGGCCAATTTTGTCAATTTTGGGCGCCCCCTCTCCTCTCTCTCCTCTCTCTCCACCTCTGTGGGGGTGGCGGAGAATTTGTTCGAGAAGTCGAGGAGCTGGCCAGAGAGTGCCGCTGGGAAGCTGCCCCCCCGGTGGGGCCAAATCGGTTCGCAGCTCCACCCGTCACCATCCCAGTCTCGTTCGGCGCGGCGGTTAAAGGACAGCAGTCCGAATTAAACCGAAGGCTGTAAAAGGAAACTGATTTCATTTTATTTTCAAAAAAAAAAAAACTCAACTTTTTTTTATTTACAATTTTACCCGGGGAAGGGCTCGACATCGAGCTTCGTGGCTCTCTTTCAGATGCGGCCCCTTCTCGCTATCGCAAATGTCAGTCCAACGACGTGGTGGCTTACCACCATCATCACCATCATCACCATCATCACAAGCATCATCACCATCATCACCACCATCACCATCATCACCATCATCACAATCATCACCACCACTATCACCATCATCACCATCATAACCATCATGACCACCATCATCACCATCATGACCACTATCATCACCATCATCACCAGCATGACCATCGTCATCACCATCATCACCAGCATGACCATCGTCATCACCATCATCACCAGCATGACCATCGTCATCACCATCATCACCAGCATGACCATCGTCATCACCATCATCACCATCATGACCATCATCATCACCATCATGACCATCATCACCATGATCACCATCATCATCACCATCATCACCATCATCACCATCATCACCATCATCACCACCATCATCACCATCATCACCACCATCATCATCACCATCATCACCATCACCATCATGACCACCATCATCACCATCATCACCACCATCACCACAATCATCACCATCATGACCACCATTATCACCATCATCACCACCATCATCACCATCATCACCATCATGACCATCATCGTCACGTGGAAATTCATAGCAGTGGCCAAAGAAACCCTGAACGCGTGGTGATGCTGATTCTAAATCTGGAGGGACATGGAGAAGTGGCACGAGCGAGGGAATGAAGATCTCGACATGCTTCACCCCTCGTGGGGGGGGGGTGGAAGGGGTGGGGGTTGTGGGAGGTGAGGGTGGCGGGGGTTGGGGTGCGGTGTTTTCCGGTCGTTTGACGCCCCATTCAGATTATTTGCCAGCTGTCCACGTCTCAAGCGTGAATCTAGAACGTGGAACCTGCGCCGCGTGACTACAGACCATAGAACCCGCGCCGTGTGATGCGTGGGGCGTGCGACTCCCGGGAGAGCAAACGGCCAAACCAACATTCATCCGGCCACGTGATCGAGTGGTCTCGCACGTGCGGGCACCGCGCCAAGCTGCCCCACGAGCCCAGAGGCCCGTGTTTCGATGGCTGCTCACGGCCGACGGCAGGGGCGAATGTTTGAACCGGTCCTGGGGACTTTCCCAGGTCGACCGAACCTTTTAACGGCGAGACGCAGGCGTCCGCGCGTGGTGCTCACCAAGCCCCACCTCCCCGTGTGCCGTGACGGCCTGGATGGATGCCCCTCGCCTCCGGCACTTGCCCCGACCGCCCTGTTGAAGGCTATGCCGGGGGATCTCTGTTTATTTTGCGTGTACGCAGGGCCCTCCTGGAGAGAAGGGAGAGCGGGGCGAGGCTGGGAACGCGGGCACCCCAGGGCCGGCGGGCGGACGTGGGCAGATAGGGGAAGATGGCCCCAAGGGCCACCCTGTGAGTGGCACATCACCATCACCAACATCGCCACCGCCGCCGCCACCACCACCACAGCCATCACCACCACCACCACAGCCATCACCACCAGAACCGTCGTCACAATCACCAACAACGCCACCGCCGCCACCACCACCACAGCCATCACCACCAGAACCACCACCAACGTCGCCACCACCACCACAGCCATCACCAACACAACCACACCCATCACCACCAGAACCACCATCACAAACATCGCAACCACCGCCGCAGCCATCACCAACACCACCATCACAGCCATCATTATCATCACCACGAAAGCCATCATCATCACCACCACAGCCATCATCACGAACCTCACCATCACCACTATCACAGCAGTCACCACCACCAGCACCACGGTCGCCGTCACCACCTGTAACCACTCCGGTTCCTCTTCTCCAGGGTCCCGTGGGATTCCCCGGAGATCTGGGAGTATCGGGCGAGCCGGGACCCCCGGTGAGTGGCCAACGCGACCCCCACGCCTCCCCTCCGTAGAGCCCTCCACCATCAACTCCACCATCACCTCCACCATCACCATCACCTCCACCATCACCTCCACCATCACCTCCACCATCACCTCCACCATCACCTCCACCATGACCTCCACCATCACCATCACCTCCACCATCACCTCCACCATCACCTCCACCACCACCTCCACCATCACCTCCACCATCACCTCCACCATCACCTCCACCACCACCTCCACCATCACCTCCACCATGACCTCCACCATCACCTCCACCATGACCTCCACCATCACCTCCACCACCACCATCACCTGCACCATCACCTCCACAATCACCTCCACCACCACCTCCACCATCACCTCCACCACACCATCACCTCCACCATCAACCTCCACCATGACCTCCACCATCACCTCCACCATGACCTCCACCATCACCTCCACCATGACCTCCACCACCACCATGACCTCCACCATCACCTCCACCATGACCTCCACCATCACCTCCACCATGACCTCCACCATCACCTCCACCATCACCTCCACCATGACCTCCACCATCACCTCCACCATCACCTCCACCATGACCTCCACCATCACCTCCACCATCACCTCCACCATCACCTCCACCACCATCTCCACCATCACCTCCACCATCACCTCCACCACCACCTCCACCATCACCTCCACCATCACCTACACCTCCACCATCACCTCCACCATCACCTCCACCATCACCTCCACCTCCACCATCACCTCCACCACCATCACCTCCACTATCACCTCAATCATCACCACCACCTCCACCATCACCTCCACCATCACCTCCACCACCATCACCTCCACCATCACCTCCACCACCATCTCCACCATCACCTCCACCATCACCTCCACCATCACCTCCACCACCACCTCCACCATCACCTCCACCATCACCTCTACCACCACCATCACTTCCAACATCACCTCCACCATCACCTCCACCGTCACCTCCACCATCACCTCCACTATCACCTCCACCACCACCTCCACCATCACCTCCACCATCACCTCCACCACCACCATCACCTCCACCATCACCTCTACCATCACCACCACCTCCACCATCACCTCCACCATCACCTCCACCACCACCACCACCACCATCACCTCCACCATCACCTCCACCACCACCATCACCTCCACCATCACCTCCACCATCACCTCCACAACCACCATCACCTCCACCATCAACTCCACCATCACCTCCACCACCATCTCCACCATCACCTCCACCATCACCTCCACCATCACCTCCACCACCATCTCCACCATCACCTCCACCATCACCTCCACCACCTCCAACAACACCTCCACCATCACCTCCACCATCACCTCCACCATCACCTCCAGCACCACCATCACCTCCACCATCACCTCCACCATCACCATCACCTCCACCATCACCTCCACCATCACCTCCACCATCACCTCCACCACCACCATCACCTCCACCATCACCTCCACCATCACCTCCACCACCACCATCACCTCCACCATCCCCTCCACCATCACCTCCACCATCACCTCCACCACCACCATCACCTACACCATCCCCTCCACCATCACCTCCACCATCACCTCCACCACCACCATCACCTCCACCATCACCATCACCTCCACCATCACCTACACCTCCACCATCACCTCCACCACCACCATCACCTCCACCATCACCTTCACCATCACCATCACCTCCACCATCACCATCACCTCCACCATGACCTCCAACATCACCATCACCTCCACCATCACCTCCACCATGACCTCCACCATCACCTCCACAATCACCATCACCTCCACCATCACCTCAACCATCACCTCCACCATGACCTCCACCATCACCTCCACCATCACCATGACCTCCACCATGACCTCCACCATCATCTCCACCATCACCTCCACCATAACCTCCACCATCACCTCCACCATCACCTCCATCATCACCTCCACCATCACCTCCACCATCACCATGACCTACACCATCACCTCCATCATCACCTCCACCATCACCTCCACCATCACCATCCCCTCCACCATCACCATCACTCCACCATCACCTCCACCATCACCTCCACCATCACCTCCAACATCACCATCACCTCCACCATCACCTCCACCATCACCTCCACCATCACCTCCAACATCACCATCACCTCCACCATCACCTCCACCATCACCTCCACCATCACCATCACCTCCACCATCACCTCCACCATCACCATCACTCCACCTCCACCATCACCTCCACCATCACCTCCACCATCACCTCCAACATCACCATCACCTCCACCATCACCTCCACCATCACCTCCACCATGACCTCCACCATCACCTCCACCATCACCTCCACCATGACCTCCACCATCACCATGACATCCACCATCACCTCCATCATCACCTCCACCATCACCTCCACCATCACCATCACTCCAACATCACCATCACCTCCACCATCACCTCCACCATCACCTCCACCATCACCATGACCTCCACCATCACCTCCATCATCAACTCCATCATCAACTCCACCATCACCATTACCTCCACCATCAACTCCACCATCACCATTACCTCCACCATCACCTCCACCATCACCTCCACCACCACCTCCACCATCACCTCGACGTGGCCAACCGTGCCCATCGGAGGTGCAGCGGGGCCAAGGACGACAACACAAAAACAGAAAAAGCACTTCGAAATAAATTAATTGTACAATTTTAATATAGTAGTATAGTGTATAGTAGTGTATAGTGTATCGTATAGCAGTGTATAATGTAGTGGGTAGCATGGTGTGTAGTGTAGTATGTATTGTATAGTGTGGTGTATACCGTAGTGTACAGTTTAGTATGTAGTGTATAGTGTATTGTATAGTGTAGTATGTATTGTATAGTGTGGTGTATGCCGTAGTGTACAGTTTAGTATGTAGTGTATAGTGTATTGTATAGTGTAGTATGTATTGTATAGTGTGGTGTATACCGTAGTGTACAGTTTAGTATGTAGTGTATAGTGTATTGTATAGTGTAGTATGTATTGTATAGTGTGGTGTATACCGTAGTGTACAATTTAGTATGTAGTGTATAGTGTTTTGTATAGTGTAGTATGTATTGTATATTGTGGTGTATACCGCTGTGTACAGTTTAGTATGTAGTGTATAGTGTATTGTATAGTGTAGTATGTATTGTATAGTCTGGTGTATACCATAGTGTACAGTTTAGTATGTAGTGTATAGTGTATTGTATAGTGTAGTATGTATTGTATAGTCTGGTGTATGCCGTAGTGTACAGTTTAGTATGTAGTGTATAGTGTATTGTATAGTGTAGTGTATAGTAGTGTAGTGTATAGTAGTGTAGTGTATAGTGTAGTGTATAGTAGTGTATTGTATAGTGTAGTGTATAGTAGTGTAGTGTATAGTAGTGTATTGTATAGTAGTGTATTGTATAGTGTAGTGTATAGTAGTGTAGTGTATAGTAGTGTAGGGTATAGTGTGGTGTATAGTAGTGTAGTGTATAGTGTAGTGTATAGTAGTGTAGTGTATAGTGTTTGTATGTTATGCTTCTTTCGGCACTGTACGTATTCAAAAGTGCGAATTTGAGGTGCGGGGGAAGGACAACAAACTGAAACCCCTACAGAAATCAGTTTTTAATCTTATACAAATCGTTCAAGGAAGAGTTAAGACGTAATTTTATATCAGTTGAGTTTTAGTTTAGATTAAACCTGATTCTAATTTTATCAGCTAGTTTTTTTCCTGGGGTAAAAAGAAGCTTATTTTAATCATTCATCCTCTTGAATAGCTTGTTCGTTATTCATCGTCTCAAACTCTTCATTCTTATATATTCGTCCATCCGGCGCTCCGCTGGGTGACGTGAATTGTGGTGGGTGATGTCCTGGCCCGGTTGGGGGCACAGCCTGGCTGCAAACCCCATGGTGGCGTGGGTACCCGTGCCACCCGTGCCCCCCATCCCACCCGTGCCACCCGTGCCCCCCATCCCACCCGTGCCCCCCATCCCACCCGTGCCCTACGTACCCCCCGTGCCACCCGTGCCACCCGTGCCACCCGTGCCCCACGTGCCCCACGTGCCCCCCGTGCCACCCGTGCCACCCGTGCCCCCCATTTCACCCGTGCCACCCGTGCCCCCCGTGCCACCCGTGCCCCCCATTTCACCCGTGCCCCCCGTGCCCCCCATGCCCCCCGTGCCCCACGTGCCACGTGTCCCCCGCGTGATGGTGGTGGTGGTGCTGCTTGCGATTGTAGGGGCAAGACGGCGCGCCGGGCGACGCTGGAGACAAGGGCGACACGGGCGAGCCGGTGAGTGTCCACGGGGGGGGTGGAGTGGAGGCGGCGCTGCAAGGGCCTCCGCTACGCCAGAGGAGGCGGCCAGCAGTGACTCGCATCGAGACGCACGGACAGTATAGAGACACATAGACTTGCATAGAGACACACGGACAATATAGAGACACATAGACCTGCATAGAGACACATAGGCAATATAGAGACACATAGACCTGCATAGAGACACATAGACTTGCATAGAGACATATAGACAATGTAGAGACACATAGACCTGCATAGAGACGCATAGACTTGCATAGAGACACATAGACAATGTAGAGATGCATAGACAGTATAGAGACACATAGACCTGCATAGAGACACATAGACAATATAGAGACACATAGACAATATAGAGACACATAGACAATATAGAGACACATAGACCTGCATAGAGACACATAGACCTGCATAGAGACACATAGACAATATAGAGACACACAGACCTGCATAGAGACACATAGACTTGCATAGAGACACATAGACAGTATAGAGACACATAGACTTGCATAGAGACACATAGACAATATAGAGACACATAGACCTGCATAGAGACACATAGACTTGCATAGAGACACATAGACAATATAGAGACACATAGACCTGCATAGAGACACATAGACAATATAGAGACACATAGACCTGCATAGAGACGCACAGACTTGCATAGAGACACATAGACTTGCATAGAGACACATAGACCTGCATAGAGACACATAAACAATATAGAGACACACAGACCTGCATAGAGACGCACAGACTTGCATGGAGACACATAGACTTGCATAGAGGCACATAGACTTGCATAGAGACACATAGACTTGCATAGAGACACATAGACCTGCATAGAGACACATAGACTTGCATAGAGACACATAGACCTGCATAGAGACACATAGACTTGCATAGAGACACACAGACCTGCATAGAGACACATAGACTTGCATAGAGACACATAGACAATATAGAGACACATAGACCTGCATAGAGACACATAGACTTGCATAGAGACACATAGACAATATAGAGACACATAGACCTGCATAGAGACACATAGACAATATAGAGACACATAGACTTGCATAGAGACACATAGACTTGCATAGAGACACATAGACAATATAGAGACACATAGACCTGCACAGAGACACATAGACAATATAGAGACACATAGACTTGCATAGAGGCACATAGACTTGCATAGAGACACATAGACTTGCATAGAGACACATAGACCTGCATAGAGACACATAGACCTGCATAGAGACACATAGACAATATAGAGACACACAGACCTGCATAGAGACACATAGACCTGCATAGAGACACATAGACAGTATAGAGACACATAGACTTGCATAGAGACACATAGACTTGCATAGAGACACATAGACAATATGGAGATACATAGACTTGCATAGAGACACATAGACTTGCATAGAGACACATAGACCTGCATAGAGACACTTAGACCTGCATAGAGACACATAGACAATATAGAGATGCATAGACAATATAGAGACACATGGACAATGTAGAGATGCATAGACAATATAGAGACACATCGACTTGCATAGAGACACATAGACCTGCATAGAGACACATAGACAATATAGAGATGCATAGACAATATAGAGATGCATAGACTTGCATAGAGACCCATAGACTTGCATAGAGACACACAGACCTGCATAGAGACACATAGCCTAGCATAGAGACACATAGACTTCCATAGAGACATATAGACTTGCATAGAGACACATAGACAATATAGAGATGCATAGACTTGCATAGAGACCCATAGACTTGCATAGAGACACACAGACCTGCGTAGAGACACACAGACTTCCATAGAGACACATAGACTTGCATAGAGACACATAGACTTGCATAGAGACACATAGACTTGCATAGAGACACATCGACTTGCATTGCAACACATAGACAATATAGAGACACATAGACTTGCATATAGACACATAGACCTGCATAGAGACACATAGACCTGCATAGAGACACATAGACAATATAGAGACACACAGACCTGCATAGAGACACATAGACCTGCATAGAGACACATAGACAGTATAGAGACACATAGACTTGCATAGAGACACATAGACTTGCATAGAGACACATAGACAATATGGAGATACATAGACTTGCATAGAGACACATAGACTTGCATAGAGACACATAGACCTGCATAAAGACACTTAGACCTGCATAGAGACACATAGACAATATAGAGATGCATAGACAATATAGAGACACATGGACAATGTAGAGATGCATAGACAATATAGAGACACATCGACTTGCATAGAGACACATAGACCTGCATAGAGACACATAGACCTGCATAGAGACACATAGACAATATAGAGACACACAGACCTGCATAGAGACACATAGACCTGCATAGAGACACATAGACAGTATAGAGACACATAGACTTGCATAGAGACACATAGACTTGCATAGAGACACATAGACAATATAGAGATACATAGACTTGCATAGAGGACACATAGACTTGCATAGAGACACATAGACCTGCATAGAGACACTTAGACCTGCATAGAGACACATAGACAATATAGAGATGCATAGACAATATAGAGACACATGGACAATGTAGAGATGCATAGACAATATAGAGACACATCGACTTGCATAGAGACACATAGACCTGCATAGAGACACATAGACAATATAGAGATGCATAGACAATATAGAGATGCATAGACTTGCATAGAGACCCATAGACTTGCATAGAGACACACAGACCTGCATAGAGACACATAGCCTAGCATAGAGACACATAGACTTCCATAGAGACATATAGACTTGCATAGAGACACATAGACAATATAGAGATGCATAGACTTGCATAGAGACCCATAGACTTGCATAGAGACACACAGACCTGCGTAGAGACACACAGACTTCCATAGAGACACATAGACTTGCATAGAGACACATAGACTTGCATAGAGACACATAGACTTGCATAGAGACACATCGACTTGCTTGCAACACATAGACAATATAGAGACACATAGACTTGCATATAGACACATAGACCTGCATAGAGACACATAGACCTGCATAGAGACACATAGACAATATAGAGACAAACAGACCTGCATAGAGACACATAGACCTGCATAGAGACACATAGACAGTATAGAGACACATAGACTTGCATAGAGACACATAGACTTGCATAGAGACACATAGACAATATGGAGATACATAGACTTGCATAGAGACACATAGACTTGCATAGAGACACATAGACCTGCATAGAGACACTTAGACCTGCATAGAGACACATAGACAATATAGAGATGCATAGACAATATAGAGACACATGGACAATGTAGAGATGCATAGACAATATAGAGACACATCGACTTGCATAGAGACACATAGACCTGCATAGAGACACATAGACAATATAGAGATGCATAGACAATATAGAGATGCATAGACTTGCATAGAGACCCATAGACTTGCATAGAGACACACAGACCTGCATAGAGACACATAGCCTAGCATAGAGACACATAGACTTCCATAGAGACATATAGACTTGCATAGAGACACAGACAATATAGAGATGCATAGACTTGCATAGAGACCCATAGACTTGCATAGAGACACACAGACCTGCGTAGAGACACACAGACTTCCATAGAGACACATAGACTTGCATAGAGACACATAGACTTACATAGAGACACATAGACTTGCAGTGAGACACATAGACAATATAGAGACACATAGACTTGCATAGAGACACATAGACTTGCATAGAGACACATAGACTTGCATAGAGACACATCGACTTGCATTGCGACACATAGACAATATAGAGACACATAGACTTGCATAGAGACAGATAGACAATATAGAGACACATAGACTTGCATAGAGACACATAGACTTGCATAGAGACACACAGACCTGCATAGAGACACATAGACTTGCATTGAGACACATAGACAATATAGAGACACATAGACTTGCATAGAGACACATAGACTTGCATAGAGACACATAGACTTGCATAGAGACACATAGACTTGCATTGCGACACATAGACAATATAGAGACACATAGACTTGCATAGAGACACATAGACTTGCATAGAGACACATAGACTTGCATAGAGCCACACAGACTTGTATAGAGACACACAGACCTGCATAGAGACACATAGACTTGCATAGAGACACATAGGCTTTCATAGAGACACATAGACTTGCATAGAGACACATAGACAATATAGAGACACATAGACTTGCGTAGAGACACACAGACTTGCATAGAGACACACAGACCTGCATAGAGACACATACACTTGCATAGCGACATATAGACTTGCATAGAGACACATAGACTTGCATAGAGACACATAGACTTGCATAGAGACACATAGACAATATAGAGATGCATAGACTTGCATAGAGAGACATAGACTTGCATAGAGACACACAGACCTGCATAGAGACACATAGACTTGCAAAGAGACACATAGACTTGCATAGAGACACACAGACAATATAGAGATGCATAGACTTGCATAGAGACACACAGACTTGCAAAGAGACACATAGACTTGCATAGAGACACATAGACAATATAGAGATGCATAGACTTGCATAGAGACACACAGACCCGCATAGAGACACACAGACTTGCATAGAGACACATAGACCTGCATAGAGACACACAGACTTGCATAGAGACACATAGACAATATAGAGATGCATAGACTTGCATATAGATGGATAGACTCCCAGAGACTTGCCTAGACTCACATAGAGATAAATAGACTTGCACAGACTCGAATAGAGATGCATAGTCCTTGCCTAGACTCGAATAGAGATGGGGGTAGACTCGCCCAGATCAAGTTGGTAATGAAGCCGGGTTCCCGAGTGGGGTGGAGTTGGTGGCCTCGGCCTGCTCACCGATGCCCTGCGTAGACGGCCCTCAGTGAACTCGCGGAGAGAGCCGTGGACCCGGAGAATTGCGTCGAGTTGGAGCGACTCACAGATCGAGCTCTCGGCCTGGCCACGGATGAGAGCCACGCATTGAGAGCCACGCGTTGAGAGCCACGCATTGAGAGCCACGCATTGAGAGCCACGCACTGAGAGCCACACAGCGAGAGCCACGCATTGAGAGCCACGCATCGAGAGCCACGCAATGAGAGCCACGCATTGAGAGCCACGCATTGAGAACCACGCAGTGAGAGCCACGCATTGAGAGCCACGCATTGACAGCCACGCAGTGAGAGCCACGCAGTGAGAGCCACGCCCCGAGAGCCACGCATTGAGAGCCACGCAGTGAGAGCCACGCATTGAGAGCAACGCATTGAGAGCCACGCATTGAGAACCACGCAGTGAGAGCCACGCATTGAGAGCCACGCATTGAGAGCCACGCCCCGAGATCCACGCATTGAGAGTCACGCATTGAGAGTCACGCAGCGAGAGCCATGCGTTGAGAGCCACGCATTGAGAGCCAGCCACGCCCCGAGAGCCACTCATTGAGAGCCACGCATTGAGAGCCACGCATTGAGATCCACGCATTGAGAGCCACGCATTGAGAGCCACTCAGTGAGAGCCACGCATTGAGAGCCACTCAGTGGGAGCCACGCATTGAGAGCCACGCATTGAGAGCCACGCGTTGAGAGCCACGCATTGAGAGCCACTCAGTGAGAGCCACGCATTGAGAGCCACTCAGTGGGAGCCACGCATTGAGAGCCACGCAGTGAGAGCCACGCATTGAGAGCCATGCAGCGAGAGCCACGCATTGAGAGCCACGCAGTGAGAGCCACGCAGTGAGAGCCACGCATTGAGAGCCACACATTGAGCGCCACGCATTGAGAGCCACTCAGTGAGAGTCACTCAGTGAGAGCCACGCATTGAGAGCCACGCATTGAGAGCCACGCATTGAGAGCCACTCAGTGAGAGCCACGCGTTGAGAGCCATGCATTGAGAGCCACGCATTGAGAGCCACGCATTGAGAGCCACGCAGCGAGAGCCACGCATTGAGAGCCACGCATTGGGTATCACGCATTGAGACCTACCCATTGAGAGCCACACATTGAGAGCCACACATTGAGAGCCACTCATTGAGATCCACGCATTGAGAGCCACTCAGTGAGAGCCACGCATTGAGAGCCACGCATTGAGAGCCACGCATTGAGAGCCACGCAGTGAGAGCCACTCATTGAGAGCCACGCAGTGAGAGCCACTCAGTGAGAGCCACTTATTGAGAGCCACGCATTGAGAGCCACTCAGTGAGAGCCACGCATTGAGAGCCACGCATTGAGAGCCACTCATTGAGAGCCACGCATTGAGAGCCACTCAGCGAGATCCACGCAGCGAGAGCCACGCATTGAGAGCCACGCCCCGGTTCGGGGAGTGCAAGTGGAACGACGGTGACCCCGTGCCGGGCGTTGAACCTGCGTCTCGTTGCTTCGCAGGGATCTCCGGACCGACGGGAGAAGCCGGACCGCCGGGGTTCCTTGGGCAAAAGGGTGAGGACGCGATCCGGCCTGACCGGGGGACGCCGCTCCCACCGACGGAGCGCTCCGCCCGCGGAGCGGGGGGCGCGAATACGAACCTCGCGATGTCGTGACGACCCCATTCTGTTGGGGGCGGTCGTCGTCGGGACGCCGTTTCGCGTTAGCCGCGGCCCTCCGCCACCCGCCCGCCCGCCATGGCGACGACGGAGCCAATCGGGCGGAGGCCTTGGCGGTCGGCGTGCCACGTCGGTTTGGTCGGCATCGTGGCTGGCTCCTTCGACGTGGGGCGGCGCAGCAAACGCGCGCCTGGTGGACGCGCGTTTGCCCGCCGTGCTCATCGGAGGTAACCTGGGTCCGCTGGCAGCCTGGCCCGCTGGCACAAACCAAATCCCTGGGCACAGGCCAAGATGCGGCAACTCGATACGAGGGGCTCAGAGTCGCCGAAGTGGTGGAGGGCCGAGAGTTACAAACTGGCATCGTGCACGTGACTGCGTTGCTCAAGTAGAAACTAATTATGAATTTCGATTTAAAGCTTTTCGTGACTGCAGGTTTTCATCTTCTTGGTTCTTTAGGTAAAGTCACGTAGAATGAGGATAAATAATAATAAAATAAAAAATAAAAATTCTCACGACGTTTCGGAGGCAACACAAGCTTCCGTCTTCAGGTGGGACAGTCACAGCAAGATCTAGCTAGATCTTGCTGTGACTGTCCCACCTGAAAACAGTCACAGCAAGATCTTGCTAGATCTTGCTGTGACTGTCCCACCTGAAGACAGTCACAGCAAGATCTTGCTAGATCTTGCTGTGACTGGTCCCACCTGAAGACAGTCACAGCAAGATCTTGCTGTGACTGTCCCACCTGAAGACAGTCACAGCAAGATCTAGCAAGATCTTGTTGTGACTGTCCCACCTGAAGACAGTCACAGCAAGATCTTGCTAGAATCTTGCTGTGACTGTCCCACCTGAAGACAGTCACAGCAAGATCTAGCACCTGAAGACAGTCACAGCAAGATCTAGCAAGATCTTGTTGTGACTGTCCCACCTGAAGACAGTCACAGCAAGATCTTGCTAGATCTTGCTGTGACTGTCCCACCTGAAGACAGTCACAGCAAGATCTTGCTAGATCTTGCTGTGACTGCCCCACCTGAAGACAGTCACAGCAAGATCTTGCAAGATCTTGCTGTGACTGTCCCACCTGAAGACAGTCACAGCAAGACCTTGCTAGATCTTGCTGTGACTGTCCCACCTGAAGACAGTCACAGCAAGATCTTGCTGTGACTGTCCCACCTGAAGACAGTCACAGCAAGATCTTGCTGTGACTGTCCCACCTGAAGACAGTCACAGCAAGATCTAGCACCTGAAGACAGTCACAGCAAGATCTAGCAAGATCTTGTTGTGACTGTCCCACCTGAAGACAGTCACAGCAAGATCTTGCTAGATCTTGCTGTGACTGTCCCAACCTGAAGACAGTCACAGCAAGATCTAGCACCTGAAGGACAGTCACAGCAAGATCTAGCAAGAATCTTGTTGTGACTGTCCCCCTGAAGACAGTCACAGCAAGATCTTGCTAGATCTTGCTGTGACTGTCCCACCTGAAGACAGTCACAGCAAGATCTAGCAAGATCTTGTTGTGACTGTCCCACCTGAAGACAGTCACAGCAAGATCTTGCTAGATCTTGCTGTGACTGTCCCACCTGAAGACAGTCACAGCAAGATCTAGCACCTGAAGACAGTCACAGCAAGATCTAGCAAGATCTTGTTGTGACTGTCCCACCTGAAGACAGTCACAGCAAGATCTAGCAAGATCTTGCTGTGACTGTCCCACCTGAAGACAGTCACAGCAAGATCTTGCTAGATCTTGCTGTGACTGCCCCACCTGAAGACAGTCACAGCAAGATCTTGCAAGATCTTGCTGTGACTGTCCCACCTGAAGACAGTCACAGCAAGACCTTGCTAGATCTTGCTGTGACTGTCCCACCTGAAGACAGTCACAGCAAGATCTTGCTGTGACTGTCCCACCTGAAGACAGTCACAGCAAGATCTTGCTGTGACTGTCCCACCTGAAGACAGTCACAGCAAGATCTAGCACCTGAAGACAGTCACAGCAAGATCTAGCAAGATCTTGTTGTGACTGTCCCACCTGAAGACAGTCACAGCAAGATCTTGCTAGATCTTGCTGTGACTGTCCCACCTGAAGACAGTCACAGCAAGATCTAGCACCTGAAGACAGTCAAAGCAAGATCTAGCAAGATCTTGTTGTGACTGTCCCACCTGAAGACAGTCACAGCAAGATCTTGCTAGATCTTGCTGTGACTGTTCCACCTGAAGACAGTCACAGCAAGATCTTGCTAGATCTTGCTGTGACTGCCCCACCTGAAGACAGTCACAGCAAGATCTTGCTAGATCTTGCTGTGACTGCCCCACCTGAAGACAGTCCACAGCAAGATCTTGCTAGATCTTGCTGTGACTGTCCCACCTGAAGACAGTCACAGCAAGACCTTGCTAGATTTTGCTGTGACTGTCCCACCTGAAGACAGTCACAGCAAGATCTTGCTATATCTTGCTGTGACTGTCCCACCTGAAGACAGTCACAGCAAGATCTTGCTATATCTTGCTGTGACTGTCCCACCTGAAGACAGTCACAGCAGATCTTGCTAGATCTTGCTGTGACTGTCCCACCTGAAGACAGTCACAGCAAGATCTTGCTAGATCTTGCTGTGACTGTCCCACCTGAAGACAGTCACAGATCTTGCTGTGACTGTCCCACCTGAAGACAGTCACAGATCTTGCTATGACTGTCCCACCTGAAGACAGTCACAGCAAGATCTTGCTAGATCTTGCTGTGACTGTCCCACCTGAAGACGGAAGCTTGTGTTGCCTCCGAAACGTCGTGAGAATTTTTATTTTTTATTTTATTTTTATTATTTTATCCCCATTCTACGTGACTTTACCGAAATAACCAAGACGATAATTACGAATTGTAGTGTCGGTCGTGAAAGCCTACGTGTATTTATTACACATATGGAAGTGTATTATTATTATTATTTTTAACGGAATTCCGCCTTCCCCTCTCTCAGGGCCCACCGGGGCCACCTGGGCCAGAAGGCCGGACGGGAATGAAAGGAGCCAAGGTGAGAATTCTCTTGAACTGTCTCCCCTCTCCCTCACCACCCTCACCCGCTCCCTCGGCACTCAAGACAACAACTACAACAACAACTACAGTCATTTCCGTTTGGATGTCGGCGCTGTCGTTCCTATAGCGCAGGGCGCCCGTCTGTGCAGCGGTGGTCGCACAGGGGGGGAGCGACCGTTGGGCATGTGCTCGAGCCTAGGGGCACCCCCAGTGGCAGCTGTCACCCACTCCTCCACCCTCCCCCCCCTAAGACGGGCTCACAATCTCGGAGTGCGGCGTGAGCTGGAAATTGCAAGGCTTGCGCCTTTATATTCTATGTTCTATGCTTCTTTTCCTAAAGTCACGTAGATAGAGGAAAAAAATGTAATTTAAAAATAACAGATAAAGGCTTGCGCCTTCATATATTTTTTTTGTAACCTCTTCATCGGTGACGACTCCGGACAGGAGGGATGCCGGGCTGTTTGCGATCCCCAGCCAGGGTTCGAACCGATGGCCTCCGGGTGGGGAGTTGAGCACTCTGCCAGGGTTGTGGCCTTGCTGCGGCCTTCACAACCTTGCTCTGCGCGTGTCCCCGTCCGCCTGTCCCCGTCCGACAATCCGTGCCGTGCCTGTGTGCGTGCCCGCGTGTGTCAACAGGGAGAGCTGGGCCCCGATGGATTGCCGGGTCGCCTCGGCCCGGCTGGGCCTGTGGGCCTGCCTGGGCCGCCAGGCCTGGACGGCCTTCGAGGCATTCCAGGTTCTCCGGTACGTGTGGTTGTATGCGTGTACACACACGCGCACACGCACGCACACGTACACACGCAAACACACATACCTGGTGCGGTGTGTAGACATCGCCACAAAGGCGGCCAGGCTTGGTACTGGCCACCCACCCCCTCATGTGCTGTGTCAGCCTTCATAGGTGTTGCTACTCGCTAATAGCACTTACCCCAACAGTCTGTTCAGGCTATACGGGGGATCTTTGTCTTTGTGTGTGTGTGTTTGTCTGCGTGTGTGTGCGTTTGTGCGCGCGTGTGTGTACGCGTGTGTGTGTGCGCGCGTGCGTGTGCGCGTGCGCATGTGTGTATGTGCGTGTACGCGCGTGCGTGTGTGTGTGCGTGTGTGTGTGCGCGTGTGTGTGTGTACGCGCGCGTGTGTGTGCGTGTGTGTGTATGTGCGTGTACGCGCATGTGCGTGCGTGTGTGTGTATGTACGTGTACGCGCATGTGCGTGTGTGTGTGTGTATGTACGTGTACGCGCGTGTGCGTGCGTGTGTACGCGCGTGTGCGTGCGTGTGTGTGTGCGGCACGGCGAGTGATTCCACGCTCGTTTGGTTTCTTGTCGTTTCAGGGGATCCTCGGTTCGCCGGGGCCGATCGGACAGAACGGACCGCCGGGACCCATGGTGAGAGAGGGCGGCCTCCCGGTCGTCACCTTCGGCCCATTCTGTCGTGACGGCTTCATCGGCTCCGTCGCTGCGCCGGTGGCGGTGGCGACGGTGCTCTTGTTTAAAAACAAACACTGGCATTTTTGTTGTTGTTGTTATTTTGCGACCTGATCCAAAATGAACTCATTGTGAGTCAAAACGTTGGTCGTGAAAGCCTGCCAGGGGAGTCAAAAATAACGGTGACGTTTTCTTCCGCACTATGAAGCAATCCAAGGGTGGTGGTGGGGCGACGGAGTAGTGGGAGGGGGGGGGGAGAGGCACCTGTCTGGTCCCGAAGTTTAAAACTCCACCACTCGTGCCGGATCATCCTCCGTCCGTTTCTGTACAAAACGAGACCGACGGAGCGGGAGAGCGAGCGGGGGGAGAGAGTAAAATCCCTCCGAGGGTGTCGTGCCGTTACCCCGGTGGGCGGCGGGGGGGTGGGGGGGTGGTGAAGGGAGCCAAAGTGTGCCCCGCGAGAGACGGCCGATTGTCTTGTGTCGCCTGCAGGGACCTCCAGGTCTTCCCGGACTGAAGGGCGAGCCCGGAAAGAAGGGGGAGAAGGTGAGTTGGGCACTGCTGAGACCGTTCCCCCAGCGATTGTCGAGGCCAAATCAAGTGGGCGGGTGGGGCGGGGAGGGGGGGGGGGCGGTTGATTTATCTCTTGGCCTGGTGAGGTGGTGACCTTGCCGGCTTTATCCCCCGGTAATGTACTTTTTTGTAAGGGCTTTTACTGCTCAGGCTGCGAGGGATTCGCGTGAGCTTCGGCTCTGTTCCTCCGTCCGTCCGTCCGTCCGTCCGTTTTTTTTTCACGTCTCTTATCGAGAAGTGACCCCGATTTGAACTTTCAGGCCCGGTCTGGGCTCTGGCTCAGTGGTGCAAAGGTTCGCGATTAACTGGAGCCGGCTCTGCGCCCCGCGGTTCCAGCCGCGTTCAGGGGGTTTTGCAAGCCGAGCTGAGCCACTCACTTCCTTGCGTGTGTGGAAGCAGTCGGCGGCTCAACAGCCACGTGTGTGTGTGTGTGCCGGTGGCCTAATAAGAATGAAACGTTTCAAACAGGGTAAATTCGACTTATGAACTTTCAGAGATATGAACAAACCTCTCCATATGTCCAGTTGCCTGTTCAGAACGAGAGTCGTAAGTTCAACCACCACGCAAACAGATCGCTGGAGAACGTGAAGAACCAGTGGCATCTACACAGTTTGAAGAACCGGTGGCATTTACATCTGTAGAATGTGAAGAACCAGTGGCATTTACATCTGTAGAATGTGAAGAACCAGTGGCATTTACATCTGTAGAATGTGAAGAACCGGTGGAATTTACATCTGTAGAATGTGAAAAACCAGTTGCATCTACATCTGTAGAATGTGAAGAACCAGTTGCATCTACATCTGTAGAATGTGAAGAACCAGTGACATCTACATCTGTAGAATGTAAAGAACCAGTGGCATCTACATCTACAGAATGTGAAGAACCAGTGGCATCTACATCTGCAGAACATCAATAACCAGTGGCATCTACATCTGCAGAACACAAAGAACCAGTGGCATCTACATCTACAGAACGTGAAGAACCAGTGGCATCTACATCTGCAGAACATCAATAACCAGTGGCATCTACATCTGCAGAACACAAAGAACCAGTGGCATCTACATCTACAGAACGTGAAGAACCAGTGGCATCTACACCTGTAGAATGTAAAGAACCAGTGGCATCTACATCTGTAGAATGTAAAGAACCAGTGGCATCTACATCTGTAGAATGTAAAGAACCAGTAGTATCTACATCTGTAGAATGTAAAGAACCAGTGGCATCTACATCTGTAGAATGTAAAGAACCAGTGGCATCTACATCTACAGAACGTGAAGAACCAGTGGCATCTACATCGGTAGAATGTAAAGAACCAGTGGCATCTACAACTGTAGAATGTAAAGAACCAGTGGTATCTGCAGGACATGAAGGACCAGTGGCATCTACGAATAGGGACGGCGGCAAGTGGATTAAAAAAAAAGTTGCAAAAAAATAATGAGAACGGATTCTTGGATGGAATCCCACCCTGCTGACGCTGTCACGACACGGCTAAGGATTACGCGCGCAGTTAGCGCCCTCGTCGAAGACAGAACCAGAACCTGCAGCCCGTTTCATTCCGGGAAGGAGGAGGAGGAGAAAAGGGAGGAGGGAGGGGGTGGGGGGGTTATTTGTCGGTCGGTCGATTGATGTTTACGGTCGCCACAGCGTGAGGACGGTGAAGCGATGGGGGTCCCCCGTCGGTCTCCCGTCGCACGCACAAACACGCACAGACACGCACGCACAGACACACACAGACACGCACACGCACGCACAGGCACGCACAGACACGCACAGACACGCACGCACAGACACACACAGACACGCACGCACAGGCACGCACTTACAGACACGCACAGGCATGCACGCACAGACACGCACGCACAGACACGCACAGACACGCACGCACAGACACGCACAGACACGCACGCACAGGCACGCATAGACACGCACGCACAGACCCGCACGCACAGGCACGCACAGGCACGCACGCACAGACACGCACAGACACACACGCACAGACACACACAGACACGCACGCACAGACACGCACAGGCACGCACAGACACGCACAGACACGCACGCACAGACACACACAGACACGCACAGACACGCACGCACAGACACACACAGACACGCACGCACAGACACGCACAGGCACGCACAGACACGCACAGACACGCACGCACAGACACACACAGACACGCACGCACAGACACACACAGACACACACAGACACGCACGCACAGACACGCACAGACACACACAGACACGCACGCACAGACCACCTGTCCGCGCAATTGATTTTCCGTCGACGCGCGAAACGATCGCCAGTTCCGAGCGCGTGCGTTCAGGTGTGGAGTGGGAGGAGGTGGGGGGGGTGGGGAGGAGGGGGAGGGGGGAGTGGAGGAGAGCCGCGGTCCGTGCGTCTTGCGGAGGAGCAATTTCTTTGACAGCTCGGGGGCACTGTGTGTGTATGTGTGTGTATGTGTGTGTGTGTCTCTGTGTGTGTCTCTGTGTGTGTGTATGTGTGTGTCTCTGTGTGTGTGTATCTATGTGTGTGTATATATGTGTGTGTCTCTGTGTGTGTGTGTATGTCTGTGTGTGTGTATGTCTGTGTGTGTCTCTGTGTGTGTGTATGTGTGTGTGTGTGTATCATAACAACAGTCTGGACCACTGGACGGGTTCCGCAGGATTGGAAGGATGCCCTGGTGGTCCCCCTTTTTAAGAAGGGGGACCGCACAGACTGTAACAACTACAGGGGCATCTCACTCCTCAGTGTGCCGGGAAAGGTCCTGGCAAGGATTATTCAGCATCGCCTTGCCAGGCACGCTGAGGAGAGGCTTGCGGAGCCCCAATGCGGTTTCAGGAAAGGGCGGTCCTGCACAGATGCCATATTTTCTGTCCGTCTGCTACAGCAGAGGTGTAGGGAATTCCAACAAGACCTACATCTCTGCTTTATTGACCTGGTCAAGGCCTATGATACCATCAGTAGGCCTGGGCTCTGGGTCGTTCTTCGTGCTTTTGGAGTACCTGACCCTCTGCTCACGATCATTAAGGACCTTCATGATGGTGAGCGGGCCCGGGTAAAACTACGTGGCCGGGAGTCAGAGCCATTCCCTGTACACCTTGGGGTGCGACAGGGATGTCCTCTGGCTCCCACATTATTTAACATCTATTTTGACCACGTAGTTCGTGAAGCCTTCAATAGCTGTACCGGGGGAATCTCCATATGGTACAGATATAATGGGAGGCTAATCGATGCCCGGGTGCGGTCAAGGGATGGCTCCCTATTGCTCAACCACGTTATGTATGCTGATGACTTGGTAATAGCTGCTCAGTCAGAGGAGGAGTTGGAGACGCTGCTGCTGAGACTGGAGCATGCCACTAAGAGGTGGGGCCTTACCATCAGCCCCACTAAAACTAAGCACCTGCCTGGGTATTTTGTACCATTGGACACTCCACCCCCACAACTCCCAATCGGTGATGGGGCAGTTGTGGAGAGAGTGGAGAGTTTCCCATACCTGGGCAGTGTGCTTATGACGGGCTCCAGTTTAACAGCAGAGGTCTCACTCCGAATCAGTCGAGCGGCTATATCTTTTCATCGGTTGCGTAACGCTGTGTGGAAGCTACCTGGTCTGTCGCTCCGCACTAAGCTTCAGGTCTTCTCGGCCACGGTCATTCCCTCCCTTCTCTACGCTTGCGAAACGTGGACCCCCCTAATGGAACATCTTCGCCGGTTAGAAACATTTAGGCTGGCCTGCCTACGATCCATCCTGGGTTTAACCAGACTGGATTGTGTGAGGAGCTCACAAATCCTTGAAAGATCTGGGCAGGGTCCCATCGGTGAGCTCCTCCGGCAGGCAAGGCTGCGATGGCTGGGTCATGTAGCCCGCATGCCCAGCCACCGCATGCCGAAACAGCTTTTGTTTGGCCGGATTGAGGGGGCTAGGCGGGCGCGGCACGGGCTAGAGAAGAGATGGAGTGATGTGGTACAGGAGGACGTGGAGCTGAGTGGACTTGCCGATGACTGGTACCAGCGGTGTCAAGATCGGCCTCTGTGGAGGAGGCTCGTGAAGGATGCTACTGGGCAGTTGGAGGCAGTCGCCCTCCAACAACAACGGAGGGCGGAGGAGCGACGCTCACAACAACGAGCGGAGCGCCGGGTGGCTAAAGCACAGCAGGTTGGCACAGTAGGGGGCACAGGTGGTGCATCAGCCAGTCATCTCAGTCAGTCGACCCGTGGCACCTGGGTCTGCCCCGTGACCTCCTGCCAGCGGCCGTTCGACACTTCACGTGGCCTCAGGGTGCACATAGCCTGGCACAAGCGTCGTGGTGACGTCACCGCCACTTAGTGGCGAATGGCGGTTGTTGTTGTTGTTGTGTGTATCTGTGTGTGTCTCTGTGTGTGTGTATGTCTGTGTGTGTCTCTGTGTGTGTGTGTCTGTGTGTGTCTGTGTGTGTGTGTATGTGTGTGTGTATGTATGTGTGTGTCTGTGTGTGTGTGTGTCTGTGTGTGTCTCTGTGTGTGTATGTGTGTATGTGTGTGTCTCTGTGTGTGTATGTGTGTGTGTATGTATGTGTCTGTCTGTGTGTGTGTGTCTGTGTGTGTCTCTGTGTGTGTATGTGTGTGTGTATGTATGTGTGTGTCTCTGTGTGTGTGTGTCTGTGTGTGTCTCTGTGTGTGTGTATGTCTGTGTGTGTATGTGTGTGTGTGTCTGTGTGTGTCTCTGTGTGTGTATGTCTGTGTGTGTCTCTGTGTGTGTGTATGTCTGTGTGTGTCTCTGTGTGTGTGTATGTCTGTGTCTGTCTCTGTGTGTTTGTGTGTATGTCTGTGTGTGTCTCTGTGTGTTTGTGTGTATGTCTGTGTGTGTGTGTCTCTGTGTGTGTCGGTGTGTGTCTGTGTGTATGTGTCTCTGTGTGTGTCTGTGTGTATGTGTCTCTGTGTCTGTGTGTGTCTGTGTGTATGTGTCTCTGTGTCTCTATATTTGTGTGTC